GGTTTTTGGTTTTTGGTTTTGTTTTGTTTTGTTTTTGGTACCAGGATCGAACTTGTAACCCCTGCACTTGCAAAGCAGGCAGCAGAACCACTGAGCTAAATGCCCAGCCCAAGTATACGTTCTTGATCAATTTCTGGGGTTGGGGGGATGATTGTTGAAGTCTCTTGATCAGGAAAGGTTAAACAGCAAACAAAATTCTCATTAAAAAATTCTGAGAACATCGATATTGTTCTGGAGAAAATCACTTGTTAATAAATAAAAAAGTCATGGATCTGAGCAAAACTCCAAAATCTTAAAACTGCAACTCATTGTCCTTGTGCAAAAATTTGCATTTTGTGAATACTTACCCACTCATACTCAGTTAACATTTTAGGATTTAGTGCTCTTTAGATGGCAGATTCATCACATTGGCTCTCTAGTGTAAAGATTCTTGGAAATACCCTATAGTCACACGCACACACACACAATTTACAGAGGGTCATGTGCCTGAAAACCCACCGGGAGTCCTTTAAATGATCAAAATGCAAGCAAATGTCCCAGTTACATAGAGTGCTTCTGTAAAAGAGAAGATGAAAGGAGGTTTTGAATTAACTTGTATAGACAATTTCCATTCCTTCTTCAGAGCAATGCTGAAAACAACCTGACCTCAAAAATAAATAAGGTCAATACTGCTTTAAGCACATCTTTGGAGGAACTTGAAAGAAATGTTCCCTTTACCTGTTGCTGTTAGCTTCCCAGCAAACCATTTCTGATTTGCAGAATAAAAGAGACATTGTTTCTGAGTCATGGCTTCTAAGGTCAGTGGAATTAATATTTTTCCTTTTTCAGATTCTTTCCCTTTTTGTCTAAACTCCCAATTTAGCTGGACTTCTAAATGCAGAACACTTTCAAATGTTCCCTACAAAGCCCCATGAGAAGTTAGTTTCTAGCTGTCTAAAAAACTGCCAGCCCCATTTGGATTAGGGTTTGTTGACAGAGTGAAATAACACACTTCCATCAATCCAATATAATAGCAAAACAAATGAGAGGTTTTAACTAATTAGTGAACAAGTCTTCCGAGGCTGTGGGGTCAGTGTTGATATTAGGGACCAAATGTTTCTGTCCCTCCAGAATTCATTTTGAAATTCTAAACCCTAGGGTAGCTGCATATGGAATGGGGCCTCTAAGAAATTAATTACAATTTTGCCAATCAGGAAGACAAACTGAAACTGATCATGATAGCACCTTCATGGGCCTTCAGCCTTTGGAAGTATAAGAAAATAGATTTCTGGCTGGAGATTTAGCTCAGTGGTTCTGGCAACTGCCTCAGAAGCACAAGGACCTGAGTTCGATCCCCGGTACCAAAAAAAAAATTTTTTTTTTCTGTTATTTGCCATCTCATCATTTTTTTTTTCTTTTTGTTAGTGCTGAGGATCAAACCTAGGCCTTATTCGTGTTAGATAAACACTGTACCACTGAGCAGTATGTATTCTCAGCCATGTTTTTTTTTCTTTTTTTTTAATAGCCCAAGATGACTAATATGCCTGCATTTGAATCCTAGCTCTCCCATTCTTTTCCTTATCTTTTTTTTTTTTGTTTTTTGTTTTTTGTTTTTTTTGGTACCAGGGATTGAACTCAGGTCTTTTGGGCTTGCTAGGCAGGCAGCGGAACTACTGAGCTAAATCCCCACCTTTTTTTTTTTTTTTTTTAATAAGATCGGGTAAGGGTTTGTCAATTTTATATAATCTTTCAAAAAATCTACTCTTCAATTCATTGATTCTCTGTATTTTCTTCTTAGTCTATTACATTAATTTCTGCTTTGATCATTATAATTTCCTTCCTCACATGAGCTTTGGAGCCAGGCATCGTGGCTCACGCCTTTAATCCCAGCATTTGGGAGGCTGAGGCAGGAGGATCGCTGTGAGTTCCAGACCAGCCTGGGCTACATAGTGAGTTCCAGGTCAGTCTCAACTACATAGTGAGACCCTGTCTCAAAAAACAAAACAAAAAAGCAACATCAACATATGAGCTTTGGGCTTCATTTGCTTTTCTTTTTCTAGAAGATTCTTTAGCCTGTATATTTGAGCCCATCCTGTTTTCCTCATATGGGTATTCACCACTGTAAATTCCTCTTGTAGGACTGTTTTCATTGCATCTCTATAAGTTCCAGTATGTTGTATTGGCATTATTATTTAATTGTAGAAACTGATTTTTTTTTCTAACTTCATCTGTGACCCATGCAGGAGGGTGTTATTTAATTTCCATATGTTTATAAAGTTCTTGTGGTTTCTTTTGCCATTGATTTCCAATTCCATTGCACCATGGTCTGATAATATGCATGGGATAACGTCAGTTCCTTTGCCTTTCCTTAAGCACTTTCTGTGAGCTAGTATGTGGTCCACTCTGGAGAAGGTCCCATATGCAGCTGAAAGGAATATGTATTGAAGTTGTGGGGTGGAACCAAACATTTGGTTCAGCTCTGATATTTCTTTGTTAATTTTTTGTGTATTTGTGCAGTGGGATATTCAGTACCCCATTATAATTGTGTTAGTGTTTATTTGATTTTTTGTGTCTGTTAGTATTCATTTCTATAGTTTGGTGCACTGCTATTTGGTATACACACACACACACACACACACACACATATGAATGATTGTTATCGCTTCCTCTTGGATTATTTCCTTTACAGGGATGTAGTGACCTTGTTTGTCTCTCTTAAGCAGTCTTGGCTTGAAATTCACTTTGTCTGCAAATACAATAGCTCCCCCTGCTTTTTTCCAATTTTTTGTCTCATGGAATATTGTTTTCCATCCTCTGACTTTCAGTTATGAATTTCTTTTTCAATTAAATGTGTGGCTTATCTGCAGCATATTGTTGGATCTTGCTTCGTGATCCATCCTGCCGGTCTGCTTCTTTTGATTGATGACTTGAAACCAGTTCACTGAAGGTTATATCTGATATGTATTGACTTATCTTTGTCACGTTATTTTCCTATTATTGGTTCCTTTTTTTAACCCTCTGTTTAATTGCTTGCCTTGCCTGATGTATTCATTCTGTTGGGGTTTATGGAGTTGTAGTCCTTGTTATCTCTTTCCGAAATGTCCTTCAGAACATTTTGGAGTGCTGATTGGGTAATCATGAATTTCTTTGGGTGTTTCTTTGGGTTGTCATGGAAGTATCTTATTTCTCCATCAATTTTTTATTTTATTATTTTTTAAAATTTTATTTATTTTTTGGTATCAGGATGGAACTCAGGACCTTGTGCTTGCAAGGCAGGCAGCAGAACCACTGAGCTAAATCCCTGGCCCTCCCTCCATCAATTTTGGAAGATAGTTTTGTGAGGTACATCACTTTGGGTTGGAGGTTGTTTTCTTTCAGGGCTTGAAATACTTCACTCCAAGCTTTCCTTGACTTGAGTGTTTATGTTGAGTAGTCTGTTATGATTCTGATAGGGCTTCCTTTATAGGTGCTTTGTTTTCTCTAACAGCTTTTTTTTTTTTTCCCCCTTTTGGTACCAGGGATTGAACTTGGGTCCTTGCGCTTGCAAGGCAGGCCACCGAACCACTGAGCTAAATCCCGGCCCCCTAACAGCTTTTAATATTTTGTTTTTGTGTTAAATTTCTGGAATCTTGACTATGTGTCTTGATGCAGGTTTTTTTGTTTGTTTTGTTTTGTTTTTGGCACTAAGGATCGAACTCAGGTCCTTGTGCTTGTGAGGCAAGTGGCAGAACCACTGGGCTAAATCCCTGGCCCCCTTTTTTTTTAATCATAGGTAATTGAATTTCTGTACGACTCACTTGTCTGTTTGTCATAGTCTTTTTCTGTCCTTGGAAAGTTTTCTGCCATTACTTCTCTGAACGGTGTTTGTTTTGTTTTTTCTCGTTTTTTGTCATGCTATCTCCTGCCTTTTCAGTGATTCTGATCAATCTTATGTTATTCTTCATTGAATCATCAGGCAGCTGTAGGATTGATTTTTTTATGGTCACTTGCTATTTTTAAAAAGTCTTTTCTGGCCAGGGACTTAGCACAGTGGTTCTGCCACCCACCTTGCAAGCACAAGGTCCCACGTTCCATCCCCGGTACCAAAAAAAAAAAAATCTTTTCTTCTCGTGTTCATTAACTGTAATCCTGTCTTCTAGACCTAATGTTCTGTCCTCACATTGGCTCATTCTGCTGTGTATACTTTCAATGGTATTTTTAATCTCCTGGTTATCTGTTTGAATCTGTTTCATGGATTCCATATCTTTCCTATGTTGGGCATTCATGGTTTCCATTGCTTTCCTAAGCTTCTATATTGTTGTATCTGTATCTGCTCTGGAGCCTAACCATGCCTTTCTTTATGATCATAATCTCAGTAGTTATCTGAGAAATTATTTCTGCTTTGATTTTTTTCTATAGCTTTATTCATCTGCTTTGTTACTTCCAGTGTTATAGCATCCAAGTGGATGGATTTCCAATAGCTCCATCTCATTGCCCCCTGGATTTGCCTTTGGTGAGCTGGAAGTCTGGGGTGGAATCTTGCTTAAGTGTCCTCTCATTTTCTTTTTTATCATTTTAGTTTAAATCTCGGGTTGATGTTTGTGAATTGCTTATTCAGGTAGCTTTATTGCTTGTACTTAGAACCATCAAATGTCTTCCAGGTGTAGCTGGCTTTTGGGTTTTGAGTGCCTTGCAAGATCCTACCTCTTTGGACCAGGGATTTGGCTCAGTGGTTCTGCTGCCTGCGTTGCGAGTGCAAGGGTTCAAGTTCGATCCCTGGTACCAAAAAAGGTCCTACTTCTTCAGTTTATCGGGGATGAAAAGTTGCTGCCTCTTTGACCTAGCTCCTGGTTCTTTGGCCTTGGCCTGTACTATTGTTCATGACACTTAGGCAATCTCAGTCTTGGCATATCAGGAAGAACACCTGATTAGAACAACTACATCACCTTGACTAAGGTAACACGATCAGCAACATGATAGCATCACACACAGCGTAAACATGACAAACTGTGGTAACTATAAATTTTCCACTTTAATCATAGGAACTAGATTTGGGGTTATATCACAAGATCTGCATGGTGATTTCAGCCTCAGGGGAGAAAATTTAAATGACGTTGGGGGGATGGAGAAACAGAAGCAAGGCTGGAGGACAAAGCAAGTTTATGAAAACTGCGAATCTGGTGAAGAAGATGGGAGAGAGCGAATGAAGGAATAGAAAAGAACAACAAACAACAACAAAAAACTACAGTGTTCACATAAAAACAAGAGCAAACAAGAAAAAAAATGACAAGAAATGAAGAAAAAAACAGAGTGGACTTCAAGGTATGTCTTTCCTATCACTGGTAGACAAAGTGGGCAGAGTCCATGGCCGTGTTGATGAAGCCCAGTAAGCCAGCAGCCCTAGATTAATGTCAGAGTAGTAGATAATCCCAGCAAGCCTGCTGTTTAGTTCTGAAGCTCAGGCTGGTTTCTGGCTGTGAGGCTGGAACCTGTTTTGTTCAGCCTTCAACACCCTACATGCTCTTACCAGCTCCAACGTAATTCCTTGACCTCCTGCTGACTTGAACTCAGTTCTGACTAACACTGATGGAGCCAGCCTACAGTCACTGAGTTTGGAGCTCAGCTGGCCTCTCTCCAAGATGGTTACCAGCCAATCACCTTCTCTTGGGATGCATGTGAACCCAAATAATTCACCAGCCACTGCAGTCCCCTGCATCCACTGTTGGATTTTTCCACGCAAGGCTCTGGGGTTTCTAGTAGTAAGTGCACATAGACAGTTTGAGCTGCCCTTCCGACACAGTGAGTAAGAGCTCAGGAAGAAAACACCACTTGCTACCTCCTTTCTTGAAGTCCCTCTGCTCACTCTCCAGTTCTTGATTCAGATCCTTACTGGTTCCTAGGGACCCACTTCCCTCCTCTTCCTCACATTGCTGTATTCCAGTTTCTGGACCCCAAATCTTGGAAAACTTGTTTTCTTGCTGTTCATTATATCTTCTCAGGAGTTCTTTTAACAAAATCTTAACCACCTGTTTTGTATAAGAGATTAGTCAGCCCTGAAAGAGCTCTAGAACTGTGAGATACTTTGTCTTGTTGACAAAATATTTTAATACCAATAAGCAAAACTTTTAAGTTCTCACTTGCTGCATGTTTACTAGATGCTTTTACAAACACTGTGTTCAGTACTTTGTATGATTCCTTCAAGTTAAACTCAATTTGACTCTTCATAGATGAAGAAGCAGGTTATTAGAAGAGTCAAGGTCTAATCCAGTCTGTCTGCAAATCCTGTGCTCTTATGGAGGCTAAATTCACCAAGATTAAGTACCAGTTGAGCAGGTTAAACATTCGTACCAAGGGTGTCATTTACTAGGGCTTACACCATGCCATGCACGGCAGGGTTTGATGTGAGTTCCTATTTCTAAAGCCTGTGCATACAACTTCACTAGGCCTAGGGAGGAATAACTTGCAGGAACAGAAATTAAGTAGAAAGAGGAATAGAATCCAAACAAGCAAAAAATAAACAAAAACAAAAAAAGAATCCAAACAAGCAGAGAGAAGCTATGGCAGATGTCCCCAAGACCATCCCCAGTTTGATGATTTCTTAAGGGCTCTCACAGAACTCAGTATATAATCCTCATGTGTGTGATTTATTACCAGAAATGAAACATGAAAAGTCAGCAAAAGGAAAAGCCTCGGGACCCTAAGGCAAGAGGATCCCCGTGAGTTCAAGGCGAACCTGGGCTATATAGTGAGACCCTGTCTCATAAAATAAGAAGGCATATGTGCCTTTGGGGGCATATAAGATCCAAAACATTATAACATCCTCCATCTGAGTCTTCTTACCTCATTAGAAGTGTCAACCCAGGGTATTGCAAGGACTCTTTTTTTCTGTTTTAGTTTTTTGTTGATGCTGGGAATCAAACTCAGGGCATTGCATATGCACTCTAACGCCACCCTACGTCCACAGCCCATCACAAGGATGTAGAATAGATTCTCCCTGTAGGAACCACTGACAAAGACCACTGACAAAGACAACAAAAAGTATCATGCAGCACTTGCACACACACACACACACACACACACACACACACAAATATTTTTTTTCTTTTTTTTTTTTTTTTTGTACCAGAGATCAAACTCAGGACCTTGTTTTCTGCAGAGCAGGTGTGGTGCCACTGAGCTAAATCCCCAGCCCTTGCATTTTTTAAAAAAAGTTGAGACTGAGTCTCACTATAGTTCAGGCTTGCCATCAACTCATTACACAGCTCAACTGGCCACAAACTCAAAGCCATCCTCCTGCTGCCTCCTGCCTCAGCCTCCTGCCTCAGCCTCCTGAGTGCTGGGCTTACTGGCAATGTGCCAACATGCCAAACTGACACTTGATGTTTTCCTTTGTTTGTTTGTTTTCTTGAGACAGGGTCTTGCCGTGTAGTTCAGGCTGGCCTTGAACTCAGTATGCAGCCCAAACTGGCCTCAAACTCATGGCGGTCCTCCCACCTCAGCCTGCTGAGTGCTGGGATCACAGGCGTGCGCCACCACATCTGCCTCTTTACGAATTTTACAGTCAGTTTGCCAGTTTCTTCAAAAGTCAGCTGGAGCGCCGGGGATTTAGCTCAGTGGTTCCACCGCCTGCCTTGCAAGCGCAAAGACCCGAGTTTGATCCCTGGTACCAAAAAAATAGCTGGAACTCTGATAAGGATCGCATTTTCTGTGTGGTCTGTATTCAACATTAAATCTGTAGATCCATGAACATGGGCTATTTTATTTCACTCATCTTTCTACATTGTTGTCACTTTGGTATAAACAATTGAGCCAGTTTTCCTGTTTCTAGGAGAAAATACTTGACACAAGTTAAAGGAGAAAAGATGGGCTGGGGATTTAGCTCAGTGGTGCTGCCACCTGCCTCACAAGTGCAAGGTCCGGAGTTTGATCCCTGGTACCAAGTAATAATAATAATAGATAAAAATAAAGGAGAAAAGATTTACAGTGAATCCTTGACTTATGAACTTGATCGGTTCCTGAGGGCTGGTTGTAACTAAGTCCATACAGCTGAGATCTGGATGTTTTCCTGGGTATGCACTATAGATAACAAGAGGCAGATGAATCTTCCATTAATCCAAGTAACCCAAATGGTTTATGGCAGGCAGGTTGTAATTTGAGGATCCACTGTACTTTGGCTTATAGGTTCAGAGGTTTCAGTTCATAGTTAAAGCATAGTAGAGACAAAAGGCAGAAACAGGGTGGGGGATTTACTCAGTGGTGCCAGCGCCTGCCTCAAAAGCACAAGGTCCTGAGTTCAATCCTTGGTACCAAAAAAAAAAAAAAAAAAAAAAAAAAAAAAAAAAAAA